TTATTTTATTATTATTATTATAATTATTAATTATATTATTATATTATTTATTATTATATATTATTATTATTATTATTATAATTATGATTATTATTATTATTAATTATAATTATTACTTATATAATAATAATTATTATTATTATTATATTATTATTATATTATATTATTATATATTTTATTACTATTATATATCATTATTATTTAATTATTATTATTTTATTATTATTGTAATAATATATTATATATTATTATTATTATTTTTTATTATTATTATATTATATATTATTATATTATTATTATATAATATTATTATTTTATAATTATTGTAATTATTATTATTATTATCTATTATATATATAATTATTGTAATTATTATTATTATATATTATTATATTATTATTATTATTATTATTATTATATTATTATGATTATTATTATATTATTATATTATATTATTATTATTATTATATTATTATTATTATTTTATACTATTTTACTCCTCTGTCGAAGGTATTAATATTTCCCTCAGGCGGTTAGCCAAAGTAAGGAAATAGATCTGCAGCGGTCTTTTCACCGTATCCGGTTCTCATCTCCTAAAACCCTACGTACTGTCCTACATGTTCCCAGCAGTGCAGCTTTTTGCAGTTGCAAGTATATTTTTGGATGGAGCTGTAGCTTTTCCAGACTCTTGTGTAGTTTCCTTGGTATCTCTCCAGTAGCTCCTATTATAACTGGTATTATAGACACATTGCCCATTTCCCACATGCGTTTGATTTCGTCGGAGAGTGGCAAATACTTATTGATTTTTTCCGCATGGGTGGTTTGGATATTAGTAGGAAGAGGCACAGCTATGTCTATTATAAACGTCGTTCTTTCTTCTTTTAGTGTAAGCACTATGTCAGGAATATTGTTGGGGATGGGCCTGTCAGTTATGATTTTACGGTTCCAGTACAGCCTAGAGGTCTCCGTTTCTATCACAGGTGGCGGCGTGTATTTATAGTAGGGCTGTGTACCAGTTTCTCCTAGATGCTTTTAGCCAAAGCTTGATAAAGTATTTTGGCCACATCATTGTGCCTTTCAAGATATTGTTTAGGAGCTAAGGGAGAGCAGCCTGCTACAATATGATCTATGTGCTCATCTTTTTCCCCACATATGCGGCATCTGATATCGTCAACGTTCTCATGCATTATACGCTTTCGGTACAACTTTGTTGGGACTACCTGATCCTGGATGGAGGCTATGAAGCCCTCCGTCTCCAGGAACAGATTACCTGACTGCAACCATCCTTGGGAAGCCTTCGTGTCAATGGCGTTGTCTTCTATGCGGCTCCTATACCGACCATGTAGTGGTTTGGCTTTCCATTGGCGAACCAGATCCTGCATTGGGGTTATCTTTGCCTCAGGGTCGAAAGATTTTTCTGAAAGGTTTAGTGGTGTCAACTTTTTATCCGTCTGTGTTATTGCTTGATGCATTCTGCTGGATGTGGCTTTTTGGAGGAAGTACTGGCGTAGATTGTCCACTTGGCGGTGATGTAGTGTAGGTATGCAAGGTATTCCTCTGCCACCCTCACTTCGTGGTAGATGGAACCGCTCTATGGAACTATGTGGGTGGTGTCCCCGGTGTTTACGGAATTCTTTTCTGGTTTCCACATTAAGTGCGTTCAGTTCTGTATCCGTCCAGTTCAGTATGCCAAACGTATAGGTAAGGACCGAAGTAGCGTAGGTGCTGACAGCAAGTGCTGTATTACGAGCTGACAGACTTGTTTTCAGCACCGCCCTCAAACGTGTTCTATAGTGCTCCATTGCCTTTTCTTTTGCAGCTTTCTGGTCTATGCCCGGCGCTTGTAGATAGCCTAAGTATTTATACTGTTCATCTTGCTGCATTCCTTCAATTTTCCCTTGCACTTGGTTCGGCTCATATACTGAATGTTTACTCCATTGGCCTTTTACCATGCAACTGATCTTGCACTTGTCTGAGCTAAACAGCATCTTGATGTCAGTGCTGAATTTACTTACACAGTCCAGAAGCTTATGAAGATGTTCTTTGGTTTCTGAAAAAAGTTTGAGGTCATCCATGTACCAAAGATGTGAAATGCGTGTTTCATTGCCACCTAACAGTATTCCTTTCTTTTGGCTATTTAGCATTGTTGTTAACGGTCTAAGCGCTAAGCAGAACCATAGCGGACTTAAAGAGTCTCCTTGAATTATTCCTCTCTTGATGGATACCTCTCCGGCACTAAATTGCGTATCTTGGGTGTTGAGATAGAGCCGTGTCTTCCAATTCGCCATAGCATGTGCCAGAAATTGTTTGATGTGGCACTCGATCCCATAAAGGTCAAGCACCTCTATCAGCCAAGAGTGAGGTATACTGTCAAACGCTTTCTGATAATCGATGTATGCAATGTACAGGGGTATTTTTTTCTTTTTGGCATAATTAGTTATGACAGAGTCTATAAAAAGTTGCTCTTTACAGCCTCGAGACCCTTTTCGGCAACCTTTTTGCTCTTCGTCTAGTATAGTATTCCGCTCTAGGTGTGAATATATCTTTTCAGTAATTATAGCAGTCAATACCTTGTAAATAGTCGGCAGACAGGTGATTGGTCGGTATTTTGCCGGATCGTTCGAGTGATCGCCGCACTTTGGGATTAAATATGTTATTCCCATTGTTAAGAACTCTGGCAATATATCTGGTTGCTCTAAGATTGAGGTGTAACACTTTGCGAGTCGATCGTGGGCCGAAGTGAACGTTTTTAGCCAATAATTCTGAAGCTTATCTGATCCTGGGGCTTTCCAGTTTGGTAATTTTCGTAGAGTATTTACCACGTCATCTAAGCTTACTTTCCAGTCGAGCATGGTCCTAAAAGTTGAATTATTTGCTTTCTCTTGGCGGTACCATTTAGATGTGGAATGATTGATTGGATTGCTCCAAATTCCTGACCAGAAGGTATTGATGGCATCTGAGGTAGGAATCTGAACGTTGTTCTGATCTGTATCCCTCCATCGCGCCTGCAAGTTCCTGTAAAAGCCTCGCTGATTGGTCTCGAATGCTCGATTTTGTTTTCGGCGTTCGTTGCTTTTCTTGTACCTTCGAAGTCGCAGTGCTGTAGCTGCTATTATTAATTATTAATTATTATTATTATTAATTATTATTTATAATTATTATATTATGTATTATTATTGTAATTATTGTAATTACATATTATTAGTATAATTATATTATATTATTATTATTATATTATTATTATTATTATTATTATTATTATTATTATAATTATCATTATTATTATTATTACTATTTATTATTATTATTATTATAATTATTTGTATAATTATTGTAATTACTATTATTATTATTATTATTTTTTTTTTTTTTTTTTTTTTTTTTTAAACCCACAGTGGCATCGACAGCTATGGTCATTAGCCACTTCCCTCCTGCCTCATGAGGTCATTAAGTTGAACCTAGCATCTCAGGGATAGATCTGAGAGTTGGATAATATATAGAACGCACACATCACATACAGTATAAATAATTCATTGCATCATCCCATTTACTTAATTCAAGTATGGAGGTAAAACTGAGTGTTTACCATAGGTAAATTACTACAGCATTGAGTTTGTCCTGTTCCTAGTAAAATATTTGGTGTGCCAGACAGAATTCAGGTAAGTTGTGTTAATAATGCATTCTTATATAGGATTCATTGTTTTCTTGATACACATATACCCACATATACATATTTTTCGAGATATTTATGTTGGAGCTAATATTTTAAGATTTTTATATTGGAAGATTTTTGTTTAGATTTTGTGTAGCATATTTGTCGATTTCATGAAGTTCAGTAAGTTGTTTATGTTTCTGTCGTTTGAAAAGCATTCTTTCAGGTTTCTTGGTATAAAACATTCTAGGCGCTTAGAGTTAAATTTTGGACATTCCAGGATGATGTGTTCTACGGTAAGAGTGCAGTGGCATTCATCGCATAGTATTGGGCTTCGCCCTAGGAGAAGATGTGATGAAGTTAGGTGAGTATGTCCAATCTTTATTCTTGTAAGACAAACTTGTTCTCGTCTAGTTAGGCCTGTCGGATATTTCCATTTCTCGATTGTAGGTTGTAGTATCCTCAAACGACTTATACTTTGGCTCCACTGATTTTGCCAACGTTGATGTATCTGGAGCTTGAAATGGGCTTTTAGGTCTTCAGGAAGTACGGTGCTGACGGGGGTTCCATTTTGGGTCGCGTCACGAGCTGCTGCATCTGCTAGTTCGTTGCCAGGAATATTTACATGCCCTGGAGTCCAAATAAATACGACTGTGTTCGAATTATGCGTTAGTTTATGACACCGATTAATCACCTGCTGGACGAGGGGATTCTTAGCTTGTTGATTTCGTATAGATTGAAGGGCGGTCATTGAATCTGTACATATGAGGTATGTACTACACCGGGTTGTTTTGTCAAGCAAGTATTTAAGGGCTGCCGAGATGGCATACAATTCGGCTGTATATACGGAAGTAATAGGATTTAGACTATACTTAAAGGTTTCTGTTAGGGTGGTGAAAGCTGATCCTACGCCACTTTCATTTTTCTCTCCGTCTGTGTAGATGACTTCAGGTGTATTATATCTACTTATTATTTCATTGAATTTATGTAGATAAACATATCCCGATGTTATGTTTTTTGGATAAATAGCGCAGTCTAGTACAATATTCGTCCTGGTGTCGATCCATGGTGGAGTTTCACTTGGTTTCTTAGTGTATATGTCAGGGATAACAGCGCCAAGGTCGTTTATAATCTCTGATAGTCTGACTCCGAATGGTCTTGTAATAGTAGGTCGGTTGTCGTATTCTTCACTGCTATCATTGTTGAAAATGATATCGTGGTTTGGGTGAGAGGGTTGAGCCCATATGTTAATTCCATAGTTAAGCATTAACTGCGATATGCGTAAATCAAGCGGTGGAGTATTCGCATCGCAATATATCGAGCTGGATGGACTAGTGCGAAACGCACCTAAGCACAGTCTTAATCCTTCACGATGGATGACTTCTAGGGTACGTATATGCGATCTTCTGGCAGCGGCAAAAGCTACAATACCATATTCCATTTTTGACATTACCATATTATTATTATTGTTATTATTATTATTATTATTATTATTATTATTATTATTATTATAATTTCATCTTTTTTTTTTTCACGCTACAGGACCGTTGTCTATTAGTAGCGGTATCTTATATGGAACGGTTTGACCTCTACACCGGGTCCTCGCCGAGGACCTGAGGGGTACAGATCTTTGTAGTTTATGAGCTGGTTATGTTATAACTTTCCTAATTATGTGCGATGTGCCTAATAAGGCGATCTTCTGTAACTGATAGAAATTATGATCTCCTGGTATCCTTTTTAGGTTATCTAGGATGTTGCGAGTGACATATCCAGTTGAACCAATCACTACGGGAATAACATCTGCCTTTGTATGCCACATTCTTTGCACTTCTATGAGTAATGATTTGTATTTTAGTTGCTTTTCAGCCTCCTTTTGTATGACATGTATCTATCTGCAGGTACCGATATATCAATTATATAGCACATTTCGGTGGTTTTTATAACAATATCTGGTCTGTTTGCTTTTATTTCTCTATCCGTGATAACGGGATGGTCATACATTATTGTGATACTACCATCTTCACTTTGTGTTATTCTGTCGGGGTGATGCTCATACCATTTCGTCGATTTTATTGGACAACCAAGGTGGCGAGACGCTTCTAGATGGATGGCTGCGCAGACATTATTGTGCCTGTCAGTATATTCTTTTGGCGCTAGTATTATATGTTCAACAGTTTCATTATGAATGTGACACAATCTGCATTTACCGTCATTCCTCGTCTTGTGTATTGCTTGCTCAATGTAACGCGTTTTCAAGGCTTGGTCTTGTGCTGCCACCAGCAAGCTTTCGGTTTCCCCTTTTAAATCTCCGTATTGTAACCATCCAAATGACAGTCTTAAGTCAACCGGAAGCTCCTCCATTTGACGGATATGCTGTCCGTGTAGAGGCTTACTCCGCCATTTCTCTTCGACACATTGCTTCAGGTACAGTTTGATGGACCTGTTACCTCGCTCGATCGTATGTCCGGTTTCCGCAGCTTCTAATTTGATCTTATTACTACGCTTTACAATAGATCTATTTGTTGGTTTCCTATTGTCATGTGCTAGTAACATCTGTAGTAGGCGGTCTTGCTCAGATCTGGTTTGAATATACTGCCCTACTGAGAAGATAGTATTGTTGTACGTTTCTTCTATTTGCTTTAGTCCTCGTCCCCCTTTCTTTCGTGGCACGTATAATCTATCGATGTCTGCTTTGGGATGAAGGATATTATGTGTTGTCATTAGTTTTCTTGTTTTGCGATCCATTTGTCTTATGTCATCCAATGTCCAATTGATTATACCAAAGCTGTACTGCATGATTGGTATGGCAAGAGCTCCAAT